GGGCGCGCCGTCGTAAGCGGCCGGCCCCTGGCTGGAGAGGGCGGCGAGGGTCTGGTACATCTCCTCCGGCTGCTCGGGTGCGAACGGACTCAGCTTGGCGCCGCGGCTGGACCACAGCAGCTTGCTGGCGGTCGCGGCCTGGTCGAGGTCAGTGAAGAGCAGTAGGTCCTCCCAGCTCGACAGGGCGCTCCCGGGGCCAGCGACCCCGGGCGCCGAAGGTCCGTGGGGGGCCCCAAAGGGATGCGAGGCGTAGGGGCTAAGCAGCAGCGATCGGGCCGGGGGTCCCGCCGCCGTCTCCGTTTCGAGCTGTGGCGTCCTGCAGCTGCTGGCGCCGCTGGGGCCGCGTTCCCCACCCCGAGAGCAGCAGGAGGAGGAAGAGGAGGAGATGGGGGAAGGCGGCGTAGAGAGTTCCCGTGCGGTAAAGGCTCCGGAGTCGCTGGCGTCCGCAGCCGCGGCCCCGAAGCGCTTCGGCAGGCACCAGCCGCCGTCAGTCAAGGCCATCCACGGTCCGGCGCCGCTGCAAGCTGACTTCTAGCTGCTGAGACAGGGAGACAGGGGCGAGAGGAGAAATAAAAAGGGGTTACCGAAAGCGCATGCTGTACGGCATCTCACTTCCACTCCCATTCTAGCTAATAAGATTCCTCAAAGATCCTGTTTCTGCTCTGGAGCCTGCGCAGCTGCTACTGGATCTTCCAAGGACGGGGATACCCACCCTCCCTTGCCGGCACTGCTCGGGTCCTCTCGCCCTCCTCCCCGCCCACCCCCTCCGCAGCATCCTTCATCCGCGCGCACGTCAGAGACGGAGACTTCGAGACTGGCCGTGGTTTTCCTTCCTCCCCAAAGTGGCTCCCTGCGGGCCGATGGCACACAAAATAACTTTTTAAGTAGCTTTGCGTGTCGGCGCTGCCTGATCCCGCCTCTCTGAGGGTGTCCCTCACCCGGAATGTCTTAGTGTGAAGGTTGCCCGCGTGAAAATCATTAGCGTTAAGAAGGCAACCTGTCTCCGAAAACGAAACCGCCGCGTTCTCCCACACTGGCTTTCCCAGAGCTTCCCGGACTGCTCTGACAAGACGGAACGCGAGCCCCAGAGAAAAATGCAACTCAGCCCGGGGAAGGTGGGGCGCCGGGGCGGGGACAGCAGTCTTAGACCTTCCGGACACAGGCAGTGAGGGGTGCCCGCGGGGCTGAGTCTCGCCCAACCTTCGTCCTGCTCGCGGCGCCGCACACCTCAGACGCCGCTCGCGTTGCAGCCGCCAGCGCGTGCGCTTATGTCCACCGGGCCACCCCAGCCTACCCCGCAGTCATCCCCAGCCGTGGAAAGGCCAGACCGTTCCGGAATCGGACGTAGTGGGGTGGAGCGGAGTGCAGAGAAAAGGAGAGGAGACGTGAGACCGCCCCGCAGCCGAAGCCACCCCAAAGGGGAGAGCAGGAAGAATGACAGACTCAGAGGGGGTCGAGGAGGGAAGCGAAATGCAGCCGGACAGGCCTTCCAGGGGCTGCCCTTCCAAATCGATTGAGGTTGTTGGAGATAACCATACTAAAGTGAATGCTCACACACAGACCCGGGATAGATGGCAAGAAAGAAGTCTCTTTGCCCGCCCGACTGGGGCTCCCGCCCCTTTGCGCAAAGATAACTCCGAGATAAGGCTGCGCGCAGATAAGCGCTTGGGGGTAGAGGAAAAAACAGCAGAAGTTAGTGCGCGGTGTCCCGGGAACCTGGGAGCCGCTATAGCCTGCCCGGAGTGGAGAAGGGAGACACCCTCCGAGCCGACCGCGGCCCGCAGAGGGCCGAAGCCGAGGGTCCTGCGACGGGTGGTGGGTAGAAAGGAGGAAAAAGGGGTGGCACGAGCAAGAGAGGAAGCAGCCAAACCTCGGGTGGGAGCCGCGCATGGAGAACGGCCGCGGCGGAGGGTGCTCTCGAGCGCGGAGAGAAGCCGAGGGCGCAGGCAAGGCGAGCGCGAGTCCGGGGTCTGCTGCGCTGCTGGTGAATAAAAAGGAGAGAGGAGGCGCCTCTTACTGCTCTGCCGGAAAACTGCAGCCTGCGCTCCTGATTGGACTCACCGAGCCCTAAACAAACAGCGCTCGCCGAAGGGTGCCAGGCTGTGGGTCGGAACTGCACTCTGCGAGCAGCTGGGCGCTAGAGGTGAAGAGGAGGTGGAGGAAGAGGAGGAGGGAATGAGGGGAGGAGAAAAAAGAGGGTGGAGAGCAGACAGAGGGCGGCGGGGGGAGGGGAGCGCGCCTCCCTGGCAGACAATGAGCGCAGCGCAGCCTGCAAGTGTGAGCTGAGCTGCGAGCACCGTCCTGGGAATGGGGGCGAGTGCATCCAGGGGGCGCCCAGCCCAGGGACGCCAGGGGAGGGGCCATGGTGGCAGAACTCCTGACCCGGCAGGCGACCCACACCCATCCTTTGGCGGAGCACTTTCCTCCGCTCCTACTTACACATGCACTCACGGGAGTGAAGGTGGCACAGGAGAAGTTGGCTGTGCACAGCCCCGCGCTGCCACTGCCTCGGGAGGGACACGCCAGCTCCCGGGGCAATGTATCCCCAAAAAGGGGGGGAGGGATTCTTTGCTCCACAGGCCTTCCCCCTCCCCCCCTCCACAGTTGTGTGTGACCGACCTTAAATTTTCCCCGACCTCTTCTCAACATTCTGTGGCTCAGGTCTTGGTGACCGTCTTAGTCGAGGCTCTTATGATATGAGAAGGAAGGAACCCGGGTGCCCAGCTCCCTATATCTGCCTTGCTTTTTTAGAAATATACTAAATTCCTGGGAAGTTTCGGGAAGTTCACGCCAGCACTCCCCAGCTAACCTTTGAGACTTTTAATTTGGGGTCGTTGTATACTTAACGTTAATTAGTAAATGGTGTACTAGATTGGTCCCTGAGGTGCACAGGATGGAAAAGGGCTTTTACACCAGTCGCGCCCACAGATGCTCTCTGAGTTTGGGTGCCCCGTTTGCTCTGAGCTTTCCCTGGAGAGCTTTCCCTAGGTAAGTCTCAGATAAATCGTTGGAAAGAAGGGAGAGGGGTGTCGCCTTCCCTGGACCCAGCGCGAAATACTACTTCCAACCCCCACCCTCACATACACACCCCTTCTTCGCTACCTCCAAATGGTTATCACAACTGTGTACAAACTGATACGGTCCTTAGCCGGCAAAGGGACTGGAAATAAACGTCGCGGGGTTATCAGCGCCGATCTGTCATCAGCGAGTCGCGGGGCCGCAGGTTCCTCGGCAGCAGGAGCTCAGATATTAGGTCTTGCTCCTTTCGCTCACAAAAAGGATTTCTTCCGACAGACATGACCCCAGAAGGCTGGCAAGAGAAAATTTTAATTAGGACAGGAGGAGTTGCTTTGTGGGATTGGATTTTTACACTTTTTTCAGGTACATCGAAGTAAATGATTTTCTAAAGGTCAGTCTCCCATAAAAGGGTTTGTACTGTTTTTGTTTGTTTGTTTTGTGTTTTTCCCGTTGGGGAAGGGAAAAGAGCCTCAGCAGAGTTGAACCGGGAGAAGCAGGGACGTTGTAAAATATGGTTTCGAAAGATTGTGAGACCTGTAAGTCTCTAAGTGTATGTTTCCACTCAATATAACTGTGAGCTGTGAACCTGTGTGTCCTGGGGGGAGAAGCAGACAGGGCCTGGAAGCATGGGGGGAGGAGGGCGCAGAATAGAGTAAGTTGATGACACATTTTTTTTTTCCATTCTTCGTTGTAAATTGATGCTAAACACTTCTGAATTTTTACATTGCTACTGAGAAGATCCATAAACTGTTCTCATCCAATTTAGTCTCTTTTATTACATTCTTCTCTGCCTCCCCCAGTCACTGCGGTGGCTCCCAGTTTCAGTGTGGCCGCATTTCGGAATGGCTGAAGGTAGAAAACTCTGGAAAGGAGGCTGGCGACTGGAGCAGGATCCAGGGGCTTTAAAATTTAACCTGAGTTCGATCGAGTGGGACAACCAGAAGAGAGCCCGGCGTCCGCTGACCGCTTAACTCCGACCTGGGCTTCGAATGCCTTTCTTTTGGTTTTTATGTGAGTTCCAAACAAATTTTTAAATAGACTGAGTTTTGCAGAAGCCCCTTTGTAGGCATTACAGAAATGCTGTAGACATTTGATTTCCTCTGAGTCCAGCTGTTTTTAAATATTTCTCAGGTTTGCTCTTAAAAGCAAAGTTTCCTTTTCTTAATTTAATCTCAGGGAAATGATTTCTAATAAAGACGAGTTAACAAATAAATCCTTTGGCTATGTTGTAGAGTCCAGGCTGTGAAGGGCCTTCAAGTCGGAGCCCGGCTGCGTGTGTTTGGTTACATTTGCAAGTATGCGAGTGTCCGTGTGAATTTCCTTGGACAATAACTAACCCCCAGGGACCTGCTTTCCCCGCAGCTCCACAGCAGCGGTGAGAGGATGCATTGCCCACCCCCTCCACCCCCGTACCGCTGGGACAGAGGTGAGCGGTGGGACAGACGCTGACCAAGTCCCAAATATGATGGCTCTAAGGACTTGGAGAAGGGACCTGGCATTTTACCCTCCAGATTCCCAATCTTTTTAACATTTCCTAAAACAAAGAGGGGAGGGAGTAGGTCATGCTTTGCTCTTCTGCAGGGTCACAAATTTTTTTTCGGGGGATAGGGGCGGTTTAGACTGATTTTCCAACCAAAGGAGGGAGTAGGTAGTGAAATGATTTTCTTGTCAGTTAATTTAAAAATAAAACAAAACTTTTTAACCCGTAGAGTTTATTCAGACAGAAAACTAGGTTGCCTGACTTTTTCAATTTGCAGTTTTCCCATCTCATCGGCTTTGGCCCTGGGGTCTACACTCCCGCACATTTTCAAAGCCACCCTCCACGGGCCCCAGGCCCCGGCGCTTTGAGTTTCCTCTAAGCGCCCTAGCAGGTCCCGGAAGGTGGGGGAGAATAGGACGTGCAGAGAAAGGACTGCACCCCAAACTAGGGAGAAAACCCGAGTTGGAGAAGGCCCCCATGGTGCTCCAGGTAGACAGGCTCTTAGAAGTTGTGTTTTCTTTGTGGTTTTGTTTCTTTCCTTTCTCTTTCCTTTTTTTGTCCCCTTTGCTTTCTTTTTTCCTTTTCCCTCCGCCTGTCTCTTCTTTTGGGGTTTACTAATCTGGAACGAAATCGTTTCTCTCGGGACTACATAGACCTAAGGGGTGGCCCCTTCACAGCAAACACCCTCCCCCCACCCCGTACCCGCCTCCCTCCTCGCCCTCAGAGAGGGGCTGACTCTGGGGCGCGGCCTGTCCCCAGGGCTGATTTATTTGGGCCGGGCCACACCACTATTCGCGATTCGAATTCAGCCAGAAAACAGCAGCCAATTGGGCAGGGGGCGGAGGCTTTGCTACCAAACGAGAAAGGGTGTTGGGGGACTCAGTCGTGCGCTGCTTCCGGAGAAGCAACGAGACCCCGAGGACCCGCGTCACCATACGGCTTTACTCCCGCATATTTAAGCTCGTTATTTTGTCATTCGACAAAGTTCCTGGCTGCTCCAGCGACGTTTCAGAAAGAATACAACGTTTGACGTAAAACATAGTTTTAACTTGAGAGGTTTTTTTTCTTTAAGCAGATTTATGCGGCCTTCTCGCTTATACCATATTTTCTCCTGTCCCGGAGACGCTTTGGCCGAAAGACATGGGGTCACCTAAACGGCCCCATCCCCGCCCGCGTTCGGGCCCACTTGCGTCGGGACGGCGGCGTGTCCCCACACTCAGCGGCGGTCAGTCCAACGCAGACCATCTCCCAGAGTCCTGACGGTGGTTTCTTGGGGATTTGGGTGGTGTGTGACTTGTTTTTTAATTCTCGAAAACCCAAAAGCACTCTAGAAATATCAGGTGGTGGCTGCGGAAGCGCGAACACTGCACAGACCAGAGGTTGCCCCAACCCCCCGCCCCGGTTTTCCGCCCCCTCGCCCTGCCGCCGGTCACTTTGGGTAAAGAACACGCAGCGCCAACGCTGGGCGCCGGGCGC